TGCGGACGACGAATGTGAGGAGGATATTCTTCACGAGTTGCTCAGTGTAACCGCCAGCGCTCACCTTCAGTCCGGGGGTCCACGAAGAAAATATCGGTCTTTCCATTCCAGGTATGTCCGGTCCATACCATCAACCCCCTCCTTGGCGACTGCGGTGAAGTTGATGTCCTAGACCGTGGCGACGTTGTCGGAGCTGCTCGATGTTGGAGGTCATCCAGATCGAGTGTACTGGTCTCCAGGTAGCTATCCATGGGTGACTCCATACTAGAAGTTTCGCAGCTGTTTGGAGGTGACATGAATTTCAAAGGTCTTCTCCAGTCAGGCGAATGATGACCATATTTTGGTGTACATGAAGGTGATGGGCGAGAGCCAGCTACTGCTTATAGAGGAAAATCTTTGGTATCTTCCGCCCTGGCACTCGTATCCACGTTCTCTGTCTGTGCAGCGGTAACTTTGCTGATATGTGACTCGGTCGGAGTGACTTTTTTTTGGCCCATATACATGGTACAATATACAGTATATGTACAGTGTTTTTTCCCACAAAACTAATTTCTCTGTAGTAACAGTGTATGTAACACCTATTATTATTAACAGTGAATATATAAGAGATGCTAGCAGCTTATAATATTTGATTTGATAAGAAGTTGGTAAAAGGAGAGGGCACCTAGTCTCTAGTATGGGTCACGGCAGCAATGGTGAGTTAGTTCAAAGTTGTGGTGTAGGTTATGGGGCAGAAACACTATTGGTGAGTGACAAGAAAGACTAGCAGCTTATAATATTTGATAAGAAGCCTTGGAAGGGGTGGGTTGTCAAGTCCGTAGCGCGGGTCCTGCAGCAGTGGTGCGTTAGTTCTGAGATATGATATGGGATGTTAGACAGAAGCTTGACTGGTGGGTTCTACGGTATGATATAGAGTACTAGGCAGAAACACTATTTTTGGGTAATAAGAAACGCAGCAGCTTATAATATTTGATAAGAAAGGTTGCAAGGGTAGGGTCACAAATTCCGTAGCGCGGGTCCTGCAGCAGTGGTGCGTTAGTTGTGAGATATGATTTGGGGTATTAGGCAGAAACATAACTGGTGGGTTACAGATCTAAGATATGATATAGGGTATCATTCAGAAACATTATTGGTGGGTGACAAGAAATGCTACCAGCTCATAATATTGATAGGAAGCGTTAGAAGAGGAGGTCACTATGTTCGTAGCGCACTGCAGTAGTAGTGCGTTAGTTCCAAGAAATGATGTGGGGTATTAGACAGAAACGTTATTGTCACCCGGGGCAAAGTTTCCCTTATTTGGTCTTTCCCTTTTTTCATTCTGTATGACAGTAGAGGCCATATCCTCCTAGTACGGTCACTAGCTCGCCGATCTGTCATTCTTGAAAAGTGGGCGGGGCTTCTACAAAGTGGGCGGGCTTCCATTAGTGCGCGAGCCCGCTTGTCACAGCCTAAAATGTGAAGATTCGGAAGAAACATCAAAATTCTGCGAAAAATGGAAGTGGGCGTGGTCACTTTCATTTTTCGCAGAATAGGGGCGGGGCTTAGTGTGTTAGTGTGTAAATGCATGACTGTATTCGTTCTGTGAAGATAGAATGTGAAAAAAAACATGGTCACTTTCATTTTTCGCAGAATAGGGGCGGGGCTTAGTGTGTTAGTGTGTAAATGCATGACTGTATTCGTTCTGTGAAGATAGAATGTGAAAAAAAAACAATGTCGAAGAAAGTTATAAAGATTTAGAACTTACGTCACTTCATTGTGAAGTGGGCCGAGTCATATATGTGCCGCTAGCAAACCTATTCAGTTAAATATGTGTGTCCAGTGGCAAAAGTGAAAAAAAAATTTGAAGAAGCAGAATTCATGAAACATTTGGAAAACCACGGCCGCGCCAAGAAGTGGGCGGGGATGGAGCGGGGCTTGCACCAGTACCGAGTGTGGTCTAGTTCTAAACTGCCCATTGTAAAGGGTGTGTCCGAATTGATTTGAGAAATGTCCGATTTGATTTGAAAAGTGTGCGTTTTGGTTCGATAAGTGTCCGATTTGGTTTGAAAAGTGTACGATTTAGTTTGAAAAGTGCCCGATTCGGTTTAAAAAGTGTCCGATTTGATTTGAAAAGTGCCCAATTTGATTTGAAAAGTGTCCGATTTGGTTTGAAAAGTGCCCGATTCGGTTTAAAAAGTGTCCGATTTAATTTGAAAAGTGTCAGATCTGGTTTGAAAAGTGTCCGATTCAAAGTGAAAATGGTATATAATCCGCGAAGTCCTGTGTGTGTGTCACGAAATTCATAGCGATCGTCCCAGTAGCTGTGGGGAAGCTGATTTCGAGGAGTGATATAGGAGTTGTGATGGGAACATTATTGTTTAGTGACAGGAAGTGATATCAGCTGAACAGATCTGATAGGAGGCGTCAGAAGAAGGGTGACCGAGTCCATGGCGCAGGTCACAGCAACAGTGGGACGTTAGTTCCAAGAGGTAATATAAGGGCTGTGACGGTAATATCATTGGTGGGTGAGAGGTAGTATTATCAGCTGGTAAGATCCGATAACAGGCGTCAGAAGGGGAAGGTGACCGAGTATATAGCGCAGGTTACAGGAACAGCGGAACCTTAGTTTCAATGAATGATACAGGGTATGGGGCAGGAACATTATTGGTGGGTGACGAGAACTGCTAGCTGCTGATAAGGCTTGATAGGAGGCGTCTGAATGGCGAGATCACCATGATTATACCGCGAGACGCAGTGTCAGCTAGGCTTTGATTCCATCAGATGATATAGAGGGGAGGTGGGGAAGTCGACGGTGGGTGACTTCGATAAGGAACGTTATCGTTGGTGTTCAGTCGAAATGAGTGATAGAGCCTTTACACTAAATGGTTTGCTGGGATGTATATAGGTGCACTACATACTCCCGTGTGTGAAAAAGTGAACATGTGGGATTGCTCTAATACTAGCATCTGCGACCATTAGTACGACTCAGCGAGTGGATTTCGTGGTAATGGAATAGATAAGCGCTTATCACCTCTGAGCAGGTAATGGAAACGGGATTTGTTCATCTATAGAGAGATTCATATTGCGCTGCACTGGCTGACTGTATTTCCTATGCATACCATTTTCACTTCGAATTCACCACTTTTCAAACCAAATTCATCACTTTTCAAACCAAATTCATCAATTTTCAAACCAAATTCATCAATTTTCAAACCAAATTCACCACTCTTTTTGGACTGGGCAGTTCCCCAACCAGATCACGCCAGACACCACTGCGAGCTCCGCCCCGACGGCCACGCCTACCTCTCAGCGCGGACATAGGTTTCCAACACCGACATATGTCCGACTCCGCCCATTCTTCGAAGGGTTTTTTGCGAACTTCGAAAATTCATAATTTTTTCAGCGTTTTAATTTCACATCCACTCTTTGCACAACAAGGACGCTCGTACCCACGCATTTATGCACTGGCAATTTAGGCTCCACCCCCTTAGCCACGCCCACCCCGCCCACTTCGAAGAAGCCCTGCCCACTTTTCAAAGATTGTGCGAATTCGCAGTATAGTCTCAGCTTACGTGGCTAGGGTATTGCTGGTTATTCGGAACAAACTTTACCTGATTTATTTGTTCCGAGTGAAGGACGAGACTCTAGCATGCAAGCCAATACTCTATACTGCCGATGCACCATTTTTAAAAGCTGTTCGGGGCTTAGGCAAGGCCTCTCACAGTGGGCGGGGCTTCATGGAGCAGTCCAAAAATGCAAAAATTTTGGAAAAAATATCAAAATTCCGCAAAAAGCAAGTAGGCGTGGCCAAGGGGGGCGGAGCCTAAGTTGCCAGTGCACTACGCGGGTAGGAGTATTTCGTTGTGCTAAGAGTGGATGTGAAATTGAAATGCTGAAAAAGTTATGAATTTTCGAAGTTCGCAACAAACCCTTCAAAGAATGATCGGAGTTAGCCATGTGTCGATTTGTTGAAAATCTATGTCCGCACTGACAAGTAGGCGTGGCCTTCGGGGTGGAGCTCGCAGTGGTGTCTGGCGTCATCTGATTGATAAACTGCCCTGTCTAGAAAGGGTGGTGAATTTGATTTGAAAAGTGGTGAATTTGGTTCGAAAAGTGGTGAATTTCGTTTGGAAGGCGATGAATTTAGTTTGAAGAGTGGTGTATTTCGTTTGGAAGGTGGTGAATTTGATTCGAAAAGTGGTGAATTTAAAGTGAAAACGGTATATATCTATGTGTGGTATGGGCGTTATGGCGAAACCACCACTGCTCCTGCAAAGATAAGCGTAGGCTAAGAAGTGCAGGCTCTGCTAGGTTACTCTAACTATTAAGATTCGATCAGCACAGGAGCGCACTCTGAGCATGAAGTGAATGAACAAACTCCGTTCCCATTATGAAGAGCTCCTGGCGAATCCAGTTAAGAGAACGAGGAGAGCTCGGCGTGAGCCGGGCCATCCGACTGGTTATAATGCACTACAAGATATTCGTGCCTGGGAGGCCTAACTACCGCCACGGAGTAGTTTTCGGCGAATTTGGTGATCTAGGCTGTTTTGGCGCCAGCGCCTGTGGAGCTGGCGGTAGATTGTTCCGAGGCTGAGCAAACGGGATTCTGCCCGAAAACTTGCCTGATTTTGGATGATTTGGGCAGTAAAGGGCAAGCAGTGCCAATAAATACAACGGTTGTGCTTTTGCCTTTTGTGGTTTATGAAGGAGTATTTCGATGAGCATTTCATCTATCTTTTTTCGCATTTTATTGATTCGTCTACACTTGTTATGAAGATATGTGAAAAACAAGATGACCTCTGAGTCCTCGTTGATACCATTACTTCGCAATTAGTACAGCAAGTTTTCGCGCGCAGCTAACTCTCTCACCTAGGTGCGAGTCACGCATGGGTGCGATCGTACCATTCTTCACTCACCCCCTCTTATTGAGACGGTGCTTTGCAGCCTTCAATGATGAATGAATGGTGTGTTATGAATGAACCAATCGTTTGTGATCCGTCAATTGAATCCATTCACTATTTATGAAGAACTATCTACTTAAAGTTTATTCAGTGACACATTTAGGAATATTGTTTAATTCAAAAGTCGATCCGTTATCTTCACCGCGCCCGTAGTCCTCCGTTGCCTTGTTCTAGTACATTCTCTGTTACAAATCCCTTAATGTTGACGTGACAAGATTCGTTTGCAGGTAGTTCGGTTAGAACGTGATCATCATAGTCGAGAAGTTGGCGCAGCACTGAGCCGCTTAGCAGGTATTGAGTCGGCCTTAAACAGTAGGGTTGCTTTGGTAAGATTTTGACTCTGATTAGCTATGGGTTGCGAGCGGATACCATCAGTTTCCTTGAGATGTTAGTTTTTACAGGATTCCGAAAATCGTCGCGCTAAACAGTTCTGGATCGCCTGTCACAGTCTGGTCGACTCCATTCAGCATGGTATCAAAGCTGGCGAAGACATGGAAAAACGGCGGTCACCGTTAGAGGATTCATTGCGTCTGCTTGAGCAGGTTTCGTATTCCTTTTTTTCCCACATTTTTTCACATATTCTTTTCAGCCTTTGTTTTGGCATTCGACCTCTCCTTTCTATCATGCACCATTTATACTGTTCACATCGACCATTTCTTTCTTTATATTCGTTATTCCCCTTGATACCTTATCTAGTTCACCGAAAACATCACTGGACAAATCATGCCAGGCCCCTTGACTTCGAGTCAATTATGATCAATATGCTTATTCCAACGTTGAAAACAAGGTGTTCGAAGGTGTAACTTCTGATTTTAGGCAATTATTGTTCATGTAAGCAGATGTTTGTTCAGGGACAGCCCCCGCGCTCAAGTAATTCATGGTGGTCCTTCCTTGTGCAAACAGTCCAGTCCCCCAGCTAAGAGACCGTCCCATTCTACTCAGCGAGCGAGGAGGATGCTAAAGCCGCCAAAAGCTCTAGTTCTAAGACCCACTCAGTTCGACCACCCACTTCCTACTATACTTCTGACGCGAGGCCGCTCAGTTGTTTTTTGTTCGGGTGGCGGGAATAAATCGGAATTGCATGTCCATTTTTGCCGACTGCGCTCGTGCCCATAAGTAGTTCTGCTCTCCTTTATTATAATTTATTCATTAGGAGCACATAGGGTCAACTACAACCCATCAGGTAAGAAAGACGCATTGAAATCAGTCAATCAGTCATACAATTTTTGGCTCGACTGACTGAACGATGCGCGCTACCGTACCCGTAATCCTAAATTCGTAAACAGGGTTTTCGAAAGTTTCTCCTTGTCATGAGTTTTTCGTCGCTGCTTTTGTTGTTTTTCATTTTATTTTCATTTCATTGGTGATACTTATTACTGGGAGATGCGAAAAAGCGGTTTGTCAAGCAGGGGTTGCACAGAGACCGCAGGGGCGTGTGACTGACACGGAGCGATTTTGTTTATGGGGTTCTTGAAGATTCTTCTTGTTTTTTTTCCTTATTGGAGAATTATTTATCAACTAATGGTTCATTAAGTGAGCAGCAACTATCCATGACACTTGAACGCGGGAACTGTCTTTGAGGTTTGAAAAGGTCGATACACCCGAATCTGTTTGAGATGTATTGCTTAGTCGTCTACGTATTCACGAGTTCATGCTAACTATTGTTATTGCTAATCACTTGTTTTAATATTTTGTAGTCTTACTCACATCCGGCTCCTCTGCAGCTTTCAGGCCGCCCCATCAAACTTAGCTGTAACACTTTTGTGCTGTTTGGTGCTCACCGACCCTGCATTACGACCCTCCTCCCCTTCTGCCAAGTACGACCCCCGCTTGGTTTGCTACAAAATAGTAAACGCTATACTCTCATTGCGGCACAATGCCCGTGCACCTTAGCAAGCGGCAAGATTTTGCTCAGTCACCTCAGGTCATCTCGCAGTATTCCTAGAGGTTCGAATAACTACATAATTCGCGACTACTTTGCAAACCACGAGACACGCGAGATAGGACAACCAAACACACGTGCAAACAAGAAGGTAGGTACAAGAAAATGCAAAGGTAAAGAACGGGATCAGAAATAAAAGAAGAATAGGGACGAAATCAACAGCAAATCTGCAGGTGTTCTGGTAATAGGTAGTTCAATTGCTATGTCCTACGCGGCCTTGAGCTAACCATATACATCGTTCTAGTTTGTAAACTCTTTGTCTTACCAAGACTACGGGGTAGCTAAAAGACTCCTCGTTGAAATTTTTTTTTCTCAAAGAAGTAGGTTCACCCTCCCAACACCTCCTCTTTGATATTAGGGCCTTTTCGTTTAAAGTCTGTGGAGCAAATCTTGAGTCGTTCTGGAGTAAACCTGTGAAGCCTTGTAAGCCCAAAACGTGTATTTTGTTGTACCTGCAATATCCTAGTATACTACTATAAGTATGTCAAAGAAAAATGTGAAATGGTCCTTCAGTTGAATAAGCAGGAAGAATAGCGTGGGAAGTTTGTGTTCCGAGTTGTATTCTCGTCGTCCTTTAAAACACCGCCCAAGATTGCAAGTCGTTGGTAATGGGGTTCAAAGAGGAAAATGAGTTGGTAGTGAACAAAACAACAAAAAAAGGGAAAATGTGGAACAATGAGTCTCTTCCTCACACAGTTTTTACAAACGGAGGTGTGCAGTGTTGGAAGGTTCGAAGAAACGACTGTGAGCCCGGGATCAATGCTTTGTCTAAGATCAAAGAAGAGACGTGTTTAGTGGATAAACCAACCTCTTTAAGACGAAAAGGCTTTTGCTCTTTGTGTCCGCTCTCCAGGTTTTCCAGCTAACCCCGTAGTCTCGATAGGACTGCAAGGAATTTACAAAATGGCAAGGTGTATTAGCTTAGCTGCTGATTGTGTTAGAGACAGTTCCCGCGATCGAGTGTCATGGATAGTTGCTGCTCATCATCATCATCATCATCATCATCATCATCATCATCATCATCATCATCATCATCATCATCATCATCATCATCATCATCATCATCATCATCATCATCATCATCATCATCATCATCATCATCATCATCATCATCATCATCATCATCATCATCATCATCAATGCATCAATTATCATTATCATTATCATTATCATTATCATTATCATTATCATTATCATTATGCATTATCATTATCATTATCATTATCATTATCATATCATTATCATTATCATTATCATTATCATCAATCATCATCATCATCTATCCTCATCTTCTCTTCTTCTTCTTCTTCTTCTCTCTTCTTTCTTCTTCTCTTCTTCTTCTCTTCTTCTCTTCTTCTTCTTCTCCTCCTCCCTCGCCTCCTCCTGCCTCCTCCTCATCCTCCATCCTCATCCTCCCTCCTCACTCCTCCTCCTCGCTTCCTCCCTCGCTCCTCCTCGCTCCTCCCTCCTCCTCCTCCCCCCTCCTCCTCCTCCTCCTCTCCTCCTCCTTCCTCCTCCGTCCTCCTCCTCCTCCTCCTCCTCCTCCTCCTCACTCTTCTTCTTCTATCTTCTTCTTCTCCTCTTTTCTTTCGAGCGGAGGTTCAGGAGATGAAACTGCTCCTGGATACAAGTTTTCAGCAAATTTGGTGATCTAGGGTTTTTTGGCGCCGGCTCCTGTAGCGCGCTCCAGGAGGTTTTGTGCCGAGCGGATGTGATGTTCATATTCACAAGGTCAAACTACCCTAGGATACAAATTTCTAGCCAATTAAGCTCACGGAGAAAAAAGTCGGTCAAGAACTGGCGGGATTTCGGATGATTGAGGCAGTAAAGGGTAAATGGTGCCGGTAACAATCAGAAAAACGACGGCATGAGTGCTCTGGCCATTCGCTTTTGCGCCCGAAAGCGGTGCAACCGGTACCGCTGCGAACTAAGCTACCTCCCACAGAGGAAGAACAACTTTGCATCCAGTGGCGGAGCATGCCTTCAAGAGCGCGCCGACTTGAGGCCGCGCATTCCCAGAAAACATGAGAATAGAAACAATCCAAGCGTCCCACTCGTTTATTCTATGTATTTCTATGGCTTTGGCGCCGGATTCGCGCCGGATCGTAGAAATTTACAGGCGATTTCAACTAATTTGCCTTTCCTTGCTTTTTTTCATTTTTGTTTTATTTACATTTGCATTGTTGTGCTTCATTTCTAGCCTGTGTCATCTTCATCTCCTTGTACATGGATTTTGAAGTATGAGCAACACCTAAAATTTTATTCGCATCAGGAAATTGCGTTTTGCTTGATCCTAATGAGTATGCCGTTTTCTTTTCATGTTTCGTGGAAATACGCGACCTCCGAGGGATGTTGCAGAAGTGGCACAGTTGCTTTTAAGTTCTGACCCTCGTCATCATCTTCTGTTCTTATTTTGCTGCACCTCCAATGTTATCCGCATCAGGAAATTGCGTGTTACTTGTATTTGAAAGCGCAATTAAAGGACTCGGCAAAGTGCCAAGGAGCCGCACGCGACACGCGCGCTTGCAACGGATGTTATGAAGGACGGGAATCTGCGCCGCAAAAAGGTGTAAGGCGGAGCATGGGAGAATTAGCGTCTTTCACGGTCCTGTATCTCCATTCCTGGGCATGTTTGGGCGGGGGGACCACGAGACATCGACAGCTGAGGGGCTGATAGTCTTATACACCCTCAATGTGTGTGAGCGTACTACGTGTCTTTAACCACATGGGAGGGAGCTATGCTCGCGTGAATACAGTCTGCTGAGGCTCAGCGGTTTACCTTAAACCTATGTAGACCGTTCAACAAAGGGTGCAATCAGGTAATGGGGAGGCAATGCATGAAACAGACGTCATAGACTGCGATAGCGTGTAAGGTGAGAATTGCCTGACTGTTTTACTATTTGTGATTGTAGCAGGTGAAGATGGCCATGTCTTCAACAAATTAGCGATTGTCGAATAATGCACATACTATTTAGAGTGCTGTGCATTTCGCATTCTAAATGCTTGCACTATTAGAGTGCCTCTGGAAGACCACTGATGTTTGCCATAACGGAGCTATATATCTTTGTTTCAGTGTGAATACAAAAATGCTTTCGTGTCTGCCTTGATCAGTGCGTTCCCTGACGTTTCGAGAGAGAAAGGAGTCTACACTGAGCAGGATCTGAACAATCGATTCAAAAAGGTGAACACTCGTAGAACGTACTTTTTTGTGAGAAAAGTTAAAGACAACCCCATCGGTTGCATATAGTGGAAAGCGGCGTTCAATTACGAACCCCTAGTTTGCTTAGTAACTCTCCAGGGGAGAAAAAAAAGCAGAAAAAAAATCGTGAACAACACCATAACGACTCTCTGCCATCCTCACTGCAGGAATTCTCCCCTGCTGCTGGTTGTGTGCCAACAAAGCGATACACTGCCGCCTGTGGCTCATTAATCGATTCTTCGCATGATCCAGTGCTGGAAAAGATATAACAATAACAAAAAACAACAAAAAACTTGTTGTCAGAACTGAAATCATGGCAAAAAGTAGCCTTTGAGTTCTGGTGGGCGATACATATAGGGAGGCTCAGAACTGCGACCTATAAAGGCCGAAGCACTTTAGTTAGTTTCTGTGAAGCATCGTGGAAAACGAGGATCAGACTATTTTTACAAGGAGATACGCCTAAGAATTGAATGAGTACAAGGGGCTGTCCTCAAGAATCCGCAAAAACACGGAGCAAAACTTTGTGGCATGCTTTTTTTTCTCACAAGTGGCCCACAGCGTTGCTTCTCGCTATTATTTCGAACAATATTATTTTTTTTGAACGGCTCCTCCCAA